ATAATGTATATATTTGACGAAAAAATTTATTAACTTTTCTACGCACATCAATTATTAGTTATTTTAATAATAATTTAGTTATTTTATAAGTAATCTTCAATTTTTTTCTAATAATTATATATTTCATTGGCCATTTTCGGCTCCTTAAACACAAAAAATCACGTATGTTGACGTATAGGTGAAATCGTACCCGGATCTACAGATCGCGAGTTAATCGCACCGAGTGATAAGTCACTCGACGACCCAAATAACTTATTGATTAAATAATTTGTTTACTTGTAAATAACTTGTATTTTGTTTTTTTTTAGACAATGGCCAATATTCATAGTCAGTCAGAAGACGGTCTTAAAAGTCAGAAGATTGACCGCATTTTAAGACATTATAGACTGTCCTGTAAGATCCGAATCATGAATATAACCCAAGTCTGGGTTTTTAAAATAATTTTTGTTTTGATGTGAGATTATCATGTGAAAACATGGTACCAAACTATGCTAAAAACACAGTTTAATATTGTATTATTTTGTATATGAACCTGTTAAACTATTGAATAAAGATTTTGATAATTAAACCATGCTGACCTATTCTAACTTACCAAATTAATACATATAATGTATTTATGTTCCTATTGGTGTTTCAAAACTTTTGGTCTGAGATATTTAACTTTTCGTAAAATATGAAAAAATCGTAAGTGTTTACAACTTTCGGTCTATACGTAAAGAATTAAAATAAAAATAATATTATTTATATTTTAATGTTAAATTGTCAAGATTAATGAGAGCTAAATAAAGAATTAAATTTATATATACATAGATAAGAAAAGAAAAAATAGTTTTATGGTATGTACATCCATATAGACCTTATATCAAATTATTAATTCATAATTATTCTTTATTAGAGTTTAGATAGAATAAAAGGAATAAAAAGTAAGAACAGGGAATAATAGATTTTAATAGAAACTGTGTATCAATGTATAGCAATTTCTGATAGGTTAAAATCTATTGCCTGTGTGTTTATTCCCTATTCCTTTTCTTATTCTTTTTGTTGTGTTCGAGCCTTTGATTAGCTGGAAGTGTCTTTACCTTGGTTTACCAGGCGAAGAGAATCTTCGCCTCTCAGGCGGGCAGTGACATGAAGGACAATGCTTCTCATAGATTCTCGTTCTCCTTTTATGCATCACAACATTACGCGGCAAGTCCTCGGATTCGTTTTGTCCACAATTAGAGCAGAACTCACCGTGATGATACAATCCGGTGTTTCTATACGAGTTCGCGGGTATTCTCTTGTACAGTTCCATAATTTCCTAAAATAAATCGTAGCCAAGACGGGGTATAAAAGCTACCGGAAACTTAATCCTTTTTCAATTTATCCGCACCGTATTCAGTTGTAATCAAAGTTCGGACAAGAATTCTTGCATCCGATGATAACAAAATTCCACCAAGAAGATCGAACTGAACTCATGATATTGTTATTAATACATAACTTCCATTTCTCAAAGAGTATACAATCAATTTCGTTCAATTAATAATATCTTCGTGAGTTTAAAATCGTAAGCACAAAGAAATATAAAAAAAGTATATAGATAATATGAAAAATTTTATACCATACATACTGCGTATAGAAAAAAAGAAACTCAAGGAACTTTGACGCGACTCATGCTTGTCCAAGTTTGATGCGAACGTGTTTCGATTCGAGTTCGTCGCAAAATTTGATGTAAATCCGAGGAAATTCATTTACTGGAGCTGCATATTAAATCCATTTAGAAAAGTGAAACGTTGTTATTATTTGTAGCGCGTGTTAAATCCTTAGAATTAATTAAAATTCCTTGTAACCTCTGAAATATTAACATTAGGATGTCATATCAATTTTATAGAATTCTCACTGTATATAAACAATCGATTTATTGCACTAATAAAAATATCACAGACTTTAAAAATATAAAATAGAAATATATATATTTTATGTATATATATATATATATATATATATATATATATGTGTGTACATATATATGTGTATTTCCGGTTATTTAATGGATAACAACCGTAACAACTCAAGATTACGAGTTGATAATTATATAATTTCAAGTAATTAGAAAAATAATAGTAATTTAGAAAAAAAGTAGTATTATTTAGTATTACTTATGATAAAAAACATTTTAAGAATAATTTGAAAAAATTTTAGAATTTAAAAAGAGTTATTTCTACTTTCAATAATTTTACGAAATTAATGTATAGACAAAGATAAAGACTCAGAGACTTCTAATTTGACAATATACAAAATGACACTGGATGATTATTGAAAGGGGCATATTTATGTGAACATTTATGCCACATACGATTTTTATTTAAAAAATATTTTTTATTGCAAAACAATTTGCATATCTCTCTTCTGATGGGACATAATGTAAAATAAATATCATCATACATACAAATATACACGCGTGACATAGCAACGCATCAGAGATTGTACATCGTTTTTTACAGTCTGAGTTTAATATTCCGTAGGATGTTTTTCTTTTGAGTTCTTCCGACTATGGGCAGCGTTATCTAAAAGGAGGCTAGAATATCGCTAAATGGAGTTCCAGGTTCTTTCGCAGCAGCTTCGAAAGTCTCGACAAATGCCTTCTTTTGAGATTCTTTAGATAGCTGAAATCAATAAATCAACAAATAAAATAGATATTAAAAATAGCTAAGAGTTAAGTAACATTAAACCTACTTTATGATAGAAATCCGAAGCAGCTATACACAATATTTTCTTGTCTTCATATTCATATTTTCCTATTCTCGACTGGACGTACGGAAATCTACCATGTTATAGTTAAGGAAAGATTACTTCTTCAAAGAAAATTACAAAGTTACATCGGTAAGAAAAGGATACAAAGCTCTCAACCAATGATTTGTCGACGCACTTATGAAAAAACAGGACAAGCACCAAGTCGACATTGCCATCGGCAAGCTTTGAATGAAATTCGGTAAACTGAAGACCACCCAGTCTTGAAGAAGCTCCATTTCCGTGCAGGTACACGCTTTCTCACAGACCTGGCGAAAAATCAGACCAAATCATACATTTTCATATTTTTTTATATTGCACTTCAGTCGCGATATAATTCGAGAACTTCGATCAATTTACAAACTTTAAAGACAACAGCAGAGAGTAATCTCGGATGCGGTTGCTGCGGGGACAAGAATTCCCCTATAACTTTAGTGAGAATTTCCGAAGGTGGGAAGAAGTCTCCTAGGAGGTACGACAGAACTGTGCATAGCACCTCCACCTCCATGGAATGTCCTTTGCGGATTTTGTCGAATATCGCGGAAATGCGTTCGATAGATCGAACCAGCGTCTCTGGCTCCACATCTGGCAACGGTTCTTCGATACCAGGTTGATTCAGTCGATCAGCTGCTTCCGTATACATGCACGTCAACAGAAGTTGTAATGCTGGTAGTGCGAGCAGGGGGCTGGGTTGCTTCAACCGGTCTATCGCGACTTTAACGATTTGCTCAGCGACTTTGCCAATAACGCTTTTTGTCGCTACAAGCCTCTCAAGACCCTATCAAGATAAATGAGCAGTTTGCGTATTTATGCTACTTATATATCAATCAAAGATGAAGAACACCGACATACCTGCAAAAGAGTTTGATGTAAACCGTATGAGATATTTTGAGATGTGACTAGAGAAAGGACTAATTCCAACACGGCCGGCGCTTCCGTGTCTGGTGGTGTATCCTCGGCGTGTTCCAATAGGAAAAACACTAGAGCCCACATTATTCCCTGATGCTCTTCACTCTGGCTTAGAATACTGTATCAGAGCAAAAACGAATTAGATAATGGTTACAAAACGGCATCAAACAAATTAATAGACATCTTCAATACTTCTTTGTCAAATGAAATGAAATTATTTTGAATTATCACCTATTCGAATCCTGCGAATCAATGTGCTTCTGTATATATTCAATAGCCAGAGGATGTATAATATTCATTGTTTCTTCGCATTTGGCCAGTACCGCGCTTTGCAGCAAGTACAGAGAGCCGTGAAGCGCGGACACTCTGGAAGCCAGGAATACCGACTTTAAATTAACGTCCACTATACGTTTTACTTTATCTAATGTGTCCAAATCCTATAAAGTGATGTTGGTTAAAAAGAAGGATCTTTATTTCTTTATTATATGTTTGAAATTCCTAGCGCGTACCAAAGGCGTTAGAACGGCGGCGGCTTTACACACAGAGACGGCCAGATACTGATGCAAGACCGCGTTCTCCATTGGATGAACCCTCGAGACTTCCAGGCACACGTCCAGCATCCACTGATATTGAGATCTCTCGAGGAAGAGTTCTGAGATCGCCAGAATAGACTTTATGATCTCCGTCAACAATTGTACAGGTGTGCTAGCCTGCGGTGACGTCCAGATAGTGTAGTGCTCTATCAGAAAACGCAGGCAGGAGTCTAAATCGAGGGAGGCGGACATCAGCGCGTCGTTCCGCCTGTTCTTCAAATCGAGAACGGAAGCACTCAACTTGTCCTCGTATAAATTGCACAACGACCATAAGTACGAGACCGACAGTTGGCTATACATATATCTATCGGAAACCGCAGTTCTCTCCACATTACCTCGCTGAAATATGTGATCCAATTTCAAGCCGGTCTTACTTTCCGTATCATTCATATATTCGTACTTCCACAGAAGCAGTTCCTGTATTGCAAATAGTTTCTGAGAGCTAGTTTTATACACGGAAAGTTGGGGATCTCTCGGGTGATGGATCAGAGTACTAGCACCAGGATTGCCAGGACACGGCAGTAGCAATGTTTGCAGTAATAATCTCGTTATCGCCTGAATCGCTAGGCTGCTCGCTTGTATCAAAGCTGCGACTTCATCCGAAGGCGTGTTCTCATTTTGCAGGAAGTTGAGAACACTCAGGAATGCCATCCAAATCTCCTCGAATTGTGACCTCGACGTCCAACCCAATAAGTTTACCCGGTAGATAAACTGCTCCAGGACATCCACATCCTGCAGAAGATTAGATTCCGATGACATAAGCGGAAAGTAGCACTTGGTGGGACCTGAGCCGATGACATGACAACCGCGTTTCCACACTAATGGAGGTGTTAAGATGTAAGAGTTTACTAATGGCTGACGACTTATGCTGATGATCAGCGACTTTATTATATTGAATAGATACGGTGGTATGTTCCTCGTAGTGCCATCCGCCTGACACTTTTCGAGCCAGGCCACTATCGATGCCATTTGAATGCACGCCCGGGCGTAATCTTTCGTATCCTCATCCTGGAGAGCTGGCTTCAGCGCTTGGCAATCCATTGTCGGCAAGGGATCCACCGTCGTTAGTATACTTTCTACGACTTTCGTCAGAGAGATCGCCGCGGAACAAACCCAAGTATAACGCGCATTGTCACCAAAAATCTTATTTGGAGCGGCATGCCGCAGAATTTCGGCCGCGCAACTTAGCGCGAGATCCATGTCATGCGGTCTCAATCTATGGACATCTTTCCTATCCGAATAGATCATCCAATGTGCCAGTTCAAGGCACAGCATAGAAAATTTGGCGATATCCTCCTCGAATTTCATATCAATCTTCGCCACATTGTACTTAGCTAGTTTCGGTAATGTCTTCATGTAAACCTTGACAGTTGGAATTATTGTGAAGAGGATCTCCCAATACAGAGCGTCACTTAGCAACTCGGAGAATCTAGTAGCATACTTTAGTTCCTTCCCACTACTGTTGTCCGTCTCCGGATTATAAATCTGATGTGGTTTCGGTACGAGATCGCAAATATAACGAATATGCTCCAACAAACACTGCTTGGCAGCAACATACAAAGGACTAGCATCGAAATAAAAATCCTTTTCGCTCTGTGCTTTTCCGAATTCCAATTTTTGGCACTTCTCGACAGTAAGGCGGGCTCCCAATATCACACAGTATTTCAAGATTTTCAAATTGAATTCTTTACAAGAGAGAATGCTGAGACAATCATCAAAGTCCAAGTCCTTCAATAACTGAGCTAATTCCATGGGATTGTTACTGGCGCTTGCGTGGCAGCAACGTAATCTCACTTGAGACAAGAACCAATTTCGATCCAACTGAACGCTCTTCACGGTGGACGGATTGAACGGTCTACATTGATCAAGTTCTAGTGGTGACAGATCGTAATATTGTACCGCCAGCTTGTTCAATAAGCTGACTAAGCCACCGTGTTTTCTTGCCAATTTGGTGATTTGCAGGACGTCCATGATCTTCACGATATCATCCTTCGACAACTGATCCTTTACATCCTCCGCATTAGTAGTTAACAGTATTTCCACTCGGCGGCTGGCAATCTTCGAAGCCATTCTCGACAAAGCGAGATATTTGGTAGACAACAGCCGTGGTATTAAAGTCATTATAACCGCGCCGCTTTGCGAATGATGTGCACCCTCGATACATTGTAACAGACGCTTTATAAAACTAGGTTGCGATAAATCCGTGCATTTTGTTGCCACAGCCTGCACCAACAGTCCGCTAGCAGCCGGATTTCTGTGTATTGCCGTAGTCAAGAGATCCCTCACCGGAGATTCGGTAGCGACGTTTATTGCCTCCTCTATGTGATTTACTAACAGCCATGTTAGCGGCTCTACATCGTTGAGATTCTCACATATGTAGTCGCAGAATAATATAATGCCACCTCTTCTAATAATTTGGATGTTCGTACTGCTGTTAATACAATCGCGTGTTTTCTTTTCGTTCGATCGATCATGATCGAACTTGCTGGTGCCCAATACTTTCGACCAGAAGGACATTTCGTTGTATCCCAACAGGATCATCAGATATGCCCACTGGCATGTCACTGTTGGGCACACGTTCCCAATGCTGAGCATCAAGTGGTTTAATTCGTCGATAAGCAATTTTTCTTCGTCGGATACGTTGCGCCCCTGAATCATCTGCATTGTTGCGTTCGCCACTTTGCAATGACTGCCAGATTCGAACATATGAATGCATAATTGCAGAAAGAATGCAAACTGATGAACGAGATAATTATCATCTGCTGTGTAATCGGAGAAATCGACAAAGGGGTCCGTAGACTTGTGATTTATCAGACCAAGTAGACTAAACACCTTCGTGCTTATCAGATTGATCACTTTGAATATGAATCTAGCAAATACTTGCTCAGGTGGCATTTGGCGCGATTGGATGCTCGAGGCGTTCAATGGATCTGCACATTCGCGAGAAAAGGAACTCCGAAGTGGCGATAACAGATGCGACACGTCTGAAACGCATATGTTGAGATCCGACAGGCGCGCCAGCATTGCCTCTTCCTTCGCGCAGGAGATCAGGGAAAGCAGTACGACGTTGATCATACCTAGCCAACGTTTCAGTTTGAGGATTGGAGCGGTCGTAGGTATTGATGCGGTGAATAATATTTTCAGAAGTGGATCCACCGGTCGAAAGACTGTGGGCGAAATTGCTGCGAACAGTTTCACTAATGCGACGTGAGCCCTTTCGGATTCTATTCTGAGTTTCCCGGCAGCCAGTATCGGAAGCACGGTGTCCATTGTGAGTCTGGACCATCTTCGCCATTTCTCCTCGCCGTTACCATCCCCGCTAAATCTAGACTCGGCCAGACATAGTGCTAAAAGTTCGACTACTTCGTGATACTCCACCAAACGTAGTAGCATGGCTATTAGCACATCTCTTGTTGTTTCCAACTCCCGTTGCTCGACCACGCTTGAACTTCCATTACGGATGAGAAATATATCCTCAATAACAGGCGCGAGCGCGGGTATACAGTGTGAGATCGCTGGTTGCCCGCTCGCCATTAGACCATCACATAATTGAATTATCTTTGGTATGCCTATTATCGCCTTGGAGTGATTTTTCTCATATGACAAGTGCACTAAGAAATTGAATATTCTCGGTAAGAGATCCTCGGTTTGTTGTATGTGGCCCTCCTCAATAAATTCAAATTGCTTTAACACGAATCCGATAAATATTTTGTCGGAGTCCAGCAGACAATAATTAACCTTCAGTTGAACCAGCTGACTCAGCAACATCAGAACCTGGCACTGCAGCGCAATGTTACTCGTAACAGTGTACTGTTTCAGAGACTTTATAACCATTGGTTCGAAGAGTCGGATGAAGGATGCGACGGACGTTTTTTGATCTGAAGATCGTGCCAAAGTCTTAAACACTGAAGAAAATTTACGATCACTTTTTCTGCGCAGCAATCCTATCCATCTGAAAGCAAAAGAGAAGGCATCAGTGTATCAGTCTACATAAGATATCACTATCAAATTATTGGATACTTACCCGTTATCTGGCTCGTTTTCACCTCTGCAATTATTCCCAATGCATTTTATCGTATTCGCCATTTGTCTGGCGGGATGTTGAAAGCACTGATTATAAAAACCTCTAACATCATCTTGTAATGCGTTGCATCGATCCACATTCTTCTGTATGTCCAGCTCGCTCCACTGTGCGCACATGTTCGTACCAAATAAGCACTTCAGCAGTTGCTGCACACATTGAACCGTTGCCGTTGGTGATAATACAACGGTGGTTTTTAAATAACATAACACTTCTTCTGCAATTCTACCTGCTTCGTTGATAGATGCGATTTCAAGAATCTGCGAGAGAACGTCCAACGTTGCGTTCAGCAAGGAAAGATACATCTCACTGGCTTCATGTTGCAGAGTGACCGAATAATTGGAGTGTGCTGCCTTTAGAATGTCATATATCTTCATGTAATGCGGCATACCGACGAACGTTCCCATTTGCTCCTTCCCACTCTTCAAAACGCCGATCTTTTCTCCCTTTTCTTTTGACTTTTGCTCTGACAGGATTTTCTTTCTAGGCGACAACGTTTGCGTGGACAAAGACGGCAATACGGGCTTAGCACTTGCCTGCACTAACTGCATCTCGTCGATGACGTGGACGAAGATATTGAGAACTCTCGTGATGTGTGTCAATAGTAATTCCATGTATCTGTCCTTACACATACTCCAAAGTTTCATCGGGTCACTACCAGTCTTAAAATTACAAACGGCTAATCCAGAAGCCAAATTACCGGCGAGGAGGATTAAGTGCCGATGTGTGGATAAATCTAAGCTAATGGTCGATGACGTTAACAGTGGCAATGCCAATGATAAGAGACTGCTGCACACCGGAGAAGAAATCATCTCATTTACGAAACTAATATCATTGGCATCCGATCGATCGCTATTCTTCTTAGATTTTTTCAGCAACATCTTTGGTAAAATACAGTCCCATCCTCTGACGTAAACCGTAGTGGGATAAGTCTCACTCAAACAGAAAAGAGTCTCGCAACAGCCGTATATTAAATATTTTGAAGAATGCACCGTTAGTATTTCCGTTAGAATGTTAACTATACGGGATAAAGCGTATTCCAGACTAGAATCGTAATTCGTCTCGTTATGATGATTCAGAAATACAAAGGGCTTAATAGACGTGTTTACGAACGGCTTATGTTTATCTTGATAGGACGACAGTTCCGAGATACTTGATGTTACCGCACTTAAAAACTGTTGAGTATATTGTGTAGCCTTCCTTGTAACAGTATCTTCTTGAGGGTGTCGAAAATATAAACGTGGGATACTCCTATAATAAAAGAAATAATATATAAAAGAAATATAAAATGATATTATAATTCGAGTAAATAATAAAATTGCACTATTAGAAATGTGTCTTACTTAACAATCGCATCTGACGCAGCGTGTCTCACTCTTTGGTCCTGATCACCTAATAACGCTATTATAACATCGATAAAGTGTTCTTGGAATAACGATTGTCTCGTTATGTGTTCTATTGTAATATATGATAATTTGCTCAATAAGTCAGCTAATTTTACTTTCACAAGAAAATATGGATTTTTCACAAGTTTTGGCAACGCAGTTAAGATGGTAAGACCGTATTCGTTGTTGATGGAATCTAGTAACTCTGGCAAGCAGAGGTTCAACGCGTCCAACGTTTGGCGGCAAGTTGTCGCGGAATCATCGTTCAAGCCCTATACATTCGACAGAAACAGATGTAAGTTAAAAAATTTCGAGACTGGTGTCGTCCTTTATAAAACGTATAAACTCACTTTTAAAAGTAACTTTATTGCGTCTTCCAATAATATATTTCCACGTCCTTGTTGAGCCACACACTCCGTTTCAAAGTTCAGGAAGGAACCGCCATACTGAACAAATATAGACTTTAAAAAGATTCCAATTACCATCGTTATATTACCCCTGATCTGAGGATCTGGGTGATTGGCAAATAGCAAAATGTCTGCAATCAATTGGTTTGTCTCATTGCAGCTTGACTCTTTGGCCACGGTCATTGTAAATAAGTGTGGATAAAGTTTGAGAATGTAACCCACGCATGTCAGAGCGAGAGCTTTTACACTAACACGAAATAACTTGTCAGATATCAATTGCCCGGGTTTGCCAGCCAACAAAAAGGACGACACCAAGTAACGACAGCAAAACTTAACAGGCATATCCGAGTCTGTGAAACTTCCAACGTCCACTTCGTACAATGCGAAATCCAGGGAGGACTTCTTAGGAGAAGCGAACGATAGAGTGTTTTCTTCTGAGTAATCTTCCTCCTTTGAGTGTTCACTTTGCAGGCTTGGATAAGGTGTTTTCTCGGATTTTTCCATCTCGCTTTCGATATCACTGCATTCCTCCACAATCGAATCTAAAAAACATTGAAATCTAATAAACTGAAAGTTAATAAGCAAGATTGTTACGCAAGTTATCAAATTCACATGTTTGTTCTTACTGTCAGTAGTTTCGATTTTCAAATGGCAATAACTTTCTAATATCCTTTCTTTCGTCTCTGTAACGTCGCTCATACATTCATTCTGTGTTTGTAAATTACACGTGACTGGCAATGTCATTTCCGTATCTGCGATCCATTCTGCATTTGGAGTAATCTCCGGAATATCAGGCTCGTGCAAGTTTAAAATAGAATCCGAATTTGCACCACAAGCAGTACTCGTGCTGGAAAGACTTGTGTGGCCCAGCGAGGGAATGCATGCATTTTGATTTAATATTATTCTGCTTTGTGTTATGCCTTCTGAAGACAATAAAACAGACACTAGTGGTTTTGGAGGCATTTTTAGAAGTTGTGTCAAAGTCTCTAAAGCTGCGTTTACAATATTATGATCAGAATGCCATTTTGTATAGTGCAAACACAATTCATAAATGTGTAACAGACTATCTATCTGTTGTGTTTCAACATCTTGAGGCTCCAAGGGTTTACATATGTAAGGTAAAATCACTCTGAGGCATCCAAAGACGCCTATAACAGTAGAGGAATGATCCTCGACGTTTCTTCCTAATATTGTTATATCTGATAAGATAAACACTATTAATAAACGAATGTTTTTGCATTACGAATGTTACGCAGCACATCGTAATTATTTAGCCGTTTACCTAATATATAATCCAACACATAATTTAAAAAAAACTGTGGTTTTCTGCAATTTATACACGTTGTCAGAATCATACTAGCTGCTGCCCTACGGAAAACTGCCTGAGGAGAGGAAATATTTTCAAAGAACGCTCTCAACAAATTCTGAAACAAGATTTAATTTTTCCCAAGTTCATGGAAATAGCTTTTAATGTGTATAATTGTGATGTGTGTAATGTTAAAATGCTTACCTTGACATCCTTGTCTGTCATGAATGGTCCTAATACTTTAAAAATTAATGGTAATGATTGCGATAACGTTTCAATTACAGAATCCTCTGACCGATGCGCAATAATCACTATACATGGGATCAGATTTGATACATAAGCTTTGCCCCTTGAAGGACGTATCATGTGACTTAGCAAACCAAATCTCCAAAGAGCAGCCCTCAGTATGCGTGCAGGTCCATTTCTTTTTATTTCATTATAAAGCTCTATCTGAATTTTAACGATATTACTGTCGACCATCGCCTAGCAAAAAACATCCATTGAATTGCTTTTAAGTATTGAGTTTCTTAATATGTATGTTTTTATGTTTTATTTATGAATACCTACAACTTTTCTGACTAATGATAAATTCAGTCATTTGTACTACATATGAGTATACATTAAAGGTTACTTAATATAAAGTACCTAAATACAGTAGCATGATGTAATTAATTTTGACAATAAAATAATATATTCTGTTAAATAACAGAACAATATTATTTTTAAGCATTTAATCGTATCAAACAATTATATGCTCTTAATATTTAACTTTGCTAATTTAATAGCTTCTAATATATGCTAATCCAGTCCACATCAATTAAACCTAACATAACATTAATGTTATAATTTTGCTTAACAATATAACTGTTATGTAACACTATGTGTTATATTACATTTATATTGTTGAATGTAAAATTATAATATTAATGTTATATTACTTTTTACTATTATTAGTTTGTGTCGATTAGAAATCTAATGTAATACAAGGGATCAAATTTGCTATAATAATAAGCCTAAAGTGTAATTGTACCCTGATAATTTTATTAAGAGATTCATCTGCGACCATCCTGACATCAGACTCATCGTCATTACAGAGTGCCAACAAGGTTTCAATTGTGGCACTGAGAATCTGTGGAAATTTGGTGTTCTGTCTGACAGTCGGCGAACATATTCCCTCGACGATGATAGCACAGCATGATACCTTCTCCTTCCTACTGTTGAAGCATTTTCGTTTATTAAAGAGCAAATCGTCTGTCGTCGCTAGAGATGTGTTTACTGTTCATACCTTGCTCCAGGATCCGACGGAGTGTCCAACTCCAGTAACCCATTCAGCGTTTCCACGGCCTTCAACACACCGTTTAGGTGAGCCATGCTGAATCTTCGAATGACCTTCGCCGGCTTCTTCGAAGGACTACCTCAAATAATCGTGCGACTGGTGAATGACATCCTGCCGCTTCCTGGCCGAAAATCTATGATAGATCCTGACACACTCATATCACAAACTACATCGCTACATGCTAGCCAATGTTGGCTGATCGTCAATCCATTGAACCATGAACGTTGGAAGTGCAGATTGGTGCAGATGCAGAGTGTAAATTGCGCATTTTTAGAGTAGCATTCCTAGAATACATAGGGGCGCGCTGCGTTTGAAAATACACATCATTAATTTATCTTTAACATTTGATAAATAACAAGGACAAAATGATATTTGGAGGGCTTGGAGGCACTCGATGTGCATTCCCGAACGCAGCTATGGTGATATTGGGCGCGTTCTGCCAACTCTGTTGGGAACAAGAATGCCACCTGTTGGCTGAGACTCCGCCGCGAATCGTTAACGTTATTCTTGTGAAAAAACAGCATAATCAAAATTTGTCAATTATCGGCACTAAAATGTAATTGTTTTCAAAACGAAACAATCAACAATGATAGGAAGTCACAAAGAAATAAAGTACAAAAAGTTCAGCTAAGAACAAATCTATTAATATTTATAAATTAAACTTTACTTCGAATGCTTGAAATAAGGATCTTTTTTTTATAATCCGACTGCTTTCATTTTTAACGTTATTTCTAAAGTCATATATATTAATTTATCTTTGTCATCTCTATAAGTTACAACATTACGCCCGTTAAGTAATATATACTCATAATACTGAGAATGATCGCAGTCTCGAGAATGGAGAGGAAAAATTCTTTCCAAATAATTAATTAGAGAATAAAAGTATATATTCTTCGTGTACATGACGACGATTAAACTGAACGTGCACTCGCCGTTAAATTAATATAAACAATAATAAAACTTTATTTGCCACAATCAATACTATCTAACCATGTTAAGTTATATACACCATTTTTTCAAGTAACTAGCACAACGCGTGATATACAATAAATACTTTTTTTGTCATTTTAAATGCTAACAAGATGTAAAATACAATTTGACTTATATCGTAGTTTTAAATTATACGCAAGAAGTGCATGCAAACTTTTCACTGTAGAAATATAGATATATGTATATATATTTTACGTAACTCTAATATTAATCTTTATTTGTAAATTTATTTTCAGATATAACTATTTACCAAAACCATATTTTGTTGGTGAATAAAGCCATTAAATAGCATTAATAAATCGATGCGCCGCAGTGTCAGAGACAACGCTACGCGGAAGTACGCGAATATTTACGAATGTAACATCTTAGAGTAACAGTATTCATAAAAGCCCGCCCTTAAAAAGTCGTCTGAAAATATATAAATTAAATAGAATTATATTGATCTCAAGACACATTACTTAAGACGAAAAAAAAACGGATTATCTATGAATACCGGTTCTATTGAACTTTTGTAACAAAATTTTACAATACTAAAATCCACCACAAAAAATTTCATATACTTGTTATTTTCATCTATGTAAAATAAACTGTTAAGAGATGCACGCGTTATGCTCAGTTTTCCGGTACTACTTCAGCAATTAAAACTTTTACATGAAAAAAAAAAATGCAATTTGTCTCATCGAGACAATCGCGAGTGAGAGAAAGACCTCTGAATCGGTACATTTTCCATCATTTGATAATAATTATATTTCTGATACAATTACATATTAAAAATGTAACATTAATATAACTATATCTTCAGCGCTTGGTCAGAATTAACAAGCGCCATTCGGATCATTCGCAAGCTTATTATTCCAAAGTGTATGTCTTTGTATGATCTTTCTCTCCCCTGTCTCTCCCCTTCTCTCTCCCACAATTCGGTGGCTCTTTCTTAATTCGCGATTCTGCATGAACGTGAGAGGACTTAAATTCCATAAAGCAGACTTAAAACTAAACTTGAAATGCAACGTCAGCTTTATCATATCGCCGTACTCGTGCGGGTACAGGCGCGTAGTCATCGCGTGTTGTATAGCGAAATACAAGTAATTCAACAAGAATCTACAATGGAATATGTATGTTGTTACATGCCACTGATTCGGCTTAGCGTTTTTTGGTAGAAAATCTTTTGTACATATATAAAAACATTAAAAGACACAAGCGTCAGCACGCTGATCGGCGAACTGGGCGCTCAAATAAAGTCTTTACGTAGTATAATCACCAGCTTTTTCGGAAATGTGTTTTATGTATTTCCAATGCGATATTAAAAGCCAGCATTTCGCCTCTTTATCCGGTTACTGTTACCAAGTAATAAAATATTCGGCCGAACGTCCAGAAATATATTCATGAGCGACAATTTCAAAGATTTCTGTAACAACAGCGTGTGCGTAGTGTGCTCCTGTAACAGTTCTGCCTCCAACATACGATCATGCGGTCAATCGCTCTTTGATTTTTCGGCAGCCTTGTTATGATCCGCTTTTTTCTCTGCATCATAGCTTTCCGATTTTGTTTCAGTTTCCCGTTGGCTACCTTCGTCCTCTTCATCGGAGTAATTTGTCGGTGCTTCGCCAGGCTTTAATAATTTTCCAACGTAATCATATCTCTCTGTAATTAAAGCAAACATTGTATTTATAATGTTATCGTTCTTCTAAATAATTTATTTATGTGTCTCTATATTTATTTTAAACATTTAAAACGTAAATTAAAACGGACGCACGTAACAAAAAAGCCTTGAACCGTGCTCTCATTCATTATTCATGAGATTCAAAGCTTTAATATTGACTCAGAAATAAAATACATTATCTCATATTTCATTATGAGCGAAGAAAATATCACACTAAAAAGAATATCTACATAGAGTTTAAAGTCTGTATCCTATAATATGTTGCGGTTATACTTGGTATGAATGCTTATCCGTTTATTATCATTCTGCCTTTAGCGTTCATTAAATACAAAATAAGAATGGAAGTGCGGAAAGTGCTGAAGGAGTTCGATCGAACGCAGTCTATATCATTTTAGAATGTTTTGTTTCTACATAGATAACACTTTCAAAAGAAAGTCTTTACTAACGAGAATTAATATTAAAATAAAATCGAGTTCTATATTTACTCCTTACATATATAAATTATGTAAATATATTAGTGCAGTGTTGCGAAATAGCTTTATCTCTTATTTATTATTGTTGAAAGAACTATCGCTTATTCAATACGCACGAATTTGTTTACCTTTAAATTGTTCTTCCCACTCGTTGATAGAATTCATTTCTGTAGTGTTCAGGTCACTTAGATCGTCATATTTATCCGTCGCAGCGACCACTTCAAACCTCGCGAGTGCTCTACTGGCATCTCGACCACCAAACGCTTCATAGGGTCCACCTATAGGAATAGCAATACTTAGTCTGTGGAGTTTTGAGACATTAAGTAGAAAATATAAATGGATTTATGTGGATTGAAATTTGTAAATCAAGTCTTCTCCTTCTACTAACGATAATTAATTTAAAAATAGAATTCCATACTCATTTCTTACATGTATAAATTATATAATCAGTGCATTGTTACAAAGTAGCTCCATCTCACATTTCTTTCTCTGTTGGAAGAACTATTATCGCTTACTGAAAACGCATAATTTGAATTGTTCATGAAAACTGAAGTAAATAAATTTTTCTTCATAAGGCCCATTCATTATTGAAAATGTATATTAAGCATAAGATTTTCGAAGGATGTCTACGCATATCACGTACAATTCCTTTCGATTAAAGACACGTAATCGATTGGATCTTTACACATTGTCTGCGTTCAGCAGAAAAAGCAGCTTCACAAGTATTGTAAAATTAATATGACTGCATTTAGCAAATTATATTTTGGAACTGGTAAAAGTTTTCTTCGTTTCAATTGGATTATATTTTTACATCGAGAGGAATATATTCTATCTAATGAAGAAAAAAACTGCCAACAGTTGCAGAATATACATTCTGCTAAACATGAGCAATGGCTACGTTCAGTAAAAAAGAAGCAGTTTTGTAAATGTAGTAAAATTCTTTAATACAACTGATTCTCGCCTTTCGTTCCTTATGGATCTAAATGTACAAAATAATCATATTAAAGAATTTTACAACAATTGCAAAATTGTTTTCTCTGCTGAATATAGCTATTAATTCATACATTTAAATCCAGTAACGAACCAAGGATCTATTATATCATTAAAGAACTTTATGACTGAGCTGTTTTTCTGCTGAACAGTCTTATCTTTATTAGAAATCAAATCAAGGATGTAAAACAAGGAGAACAAGTGTGCGACATTCCTTCGGGTGCTAATTCAAATGATTTCAGCTGCAATCGCTTATCAACTTTATGACTTTGCTCGGTGGGCTTATAGATTCCAAATATAATTTTTCAGTTCTCGAGTTTTGCCAACCACAGGCTTGTTCTTTCAACTGAACTCTTTCACGTTCACCTTTCTTTCTTTTCCTTCATAATGTAGAAAGATGAAACCGTGAAAAGAACAGGCTTCTTACATCCGTCCGTGCTACATACTTAGGCCTTCTCACCAGGTTATACGTCACGGAACGTGATAAACCGCTATCGTTAGCTTAGTATCGCGGCGCAATTGGAGAGACACAATTGGTTGTGACGATCGCGAGACTTTCGCGATTTTATTTCTGCTCGAGAGGAGTATGATATCATCGGACACTCCTTCTAGAGACTAATAAAAAAAATGGCTAATGAAATCTGAGAGAAAAAGAAATACAGATTGAAAAAAATGAGAATGAGAAAGAAGGGAAGAGGAAGAGACGGAGAATTAAATCGTGATCAGGAGGGGGAGAAGAAAAAAACATCGTTCGATAGAGATCGGCGGGTGAAGGAGAATTGATCCGCTGATGCGGAATGCCCCGGCGACGACTCACCAGGGCCGTAGAATCTGGCGCCTCTGGTGACATCGTAAACGCTGCCGTTGACGGCGACGAGTATCCGGCCGTCCGGGCCCTTGCCGTCATACTTGGTCAGCTCCTCGATCGTGAAATCGCGGCGTAGCTTCGGCAGCTTTTTCACTTCCTGCACGGGCTCTTCGGGCCGGGTGCGGCTCTTGAAGATCTTATACACCAGAATAGCGATCACGCCCACGAGGGCGAGGTTCAATGGGTTCTTCACGATCTCGGAAATAAAGTCCAACAGGAACTGCGACTGTTGCTGCTGCTGCTGCTGCTGTTCCGGGGCCGTGGCGGCCGGCGAGCCGCTCTTCTCGGCCATCTTGACCAAAATCAAACTGACCGATCCGAGTCTATCAGTGGGCGAGCGAGGAGTGCAGAGGAGTGTCGCCGAGGAAGACGAGAGGTTACGATCAACCGCGCCGGGAAAGAGAGAAACGCGGTGTGCGCGCTCCCGAGATTCCGAACTCCGAACTTCTAATACTTTTATGCGTGCGTGCGTGCGTGCGTACGTGTACGCGCGATGATACGTATACGTGCGACGCGTGCTTGCCGACGAGTAAAACAGAACAGAGAGAAATAGAGAGTACACCGGGAAGCGGGGTGGCGGGAAAACAGAGACGATCGTCGGAAACCCGCGTACTAATATCGGCCGACTAGGCGCCGCTCGCCGACATGCGTGACGACGACTCGAATGTCTCGAACTCGAACTCGGCGCGCGCGATGATAATCGTACGACACGAACGATGCGTACCGGTGTACGCCGTGCGCGTTACGTAGTTCCCTTGCCCCTCCCGCTTTACGGTTTCTCTCCTTTCCCTCCGCCCATTTGGCATGTGGCACCAGGCATGTGGCGTATGCGGTACGAGCGGCGCAGAGAGACGAGAGTCGCCTTTGCCCGCCTTCTACGTGGCTGCACCGCGGTGGTGCGTTTCAGGGCCGTACGCAATGGGGACTATAGGTTTGTTTCTCTTTTAGCCCAACTTCTTGTGACTTCTTGCATGGTTCATCTTTCCACTCCAACGTGAAGAGAAAAGGAAGGTGAACCATGCAAGAACTTTAGCTAAAAAGAACAGACCTTATAGTGGAGATTTTGTCAAAATTTCACGAGAGAGAAAAAGATGCTTTCTAAATGAATTAAATCTCTGAAGAGTGAAATCTACTCGCACCTAAAATTAAAAATTGAGCGACTCTTTTTCAAGCCTGGCTTAATTTTCATTTATATAATGTGAGATTCTACTCTCTCAAAAGATTTTAGAGTATATATAATTTTTCCCCTTTATATATATATATAATCTCATTATTCTAACTAATACTGTGTTTCACTCTATAATTTTAATTAAGATAATAAAGTAAGTTAAAGTATAATAGTATATTATACAGGGTGGTCTACTTAAATTGATCATCTGAAATATCTCGTTTATTTTTAACGATATAAAAAAATGTTTTCAAATGAAAGTGAAAAAGTTTCGAGGGGGACGTATTTTGGCCATGTTGGGTTTTTTTTAGATAAAGGCGTCAAAAAGATATGAAGCTTACCTTCACTTTAACTGAAATTGAATATGATTTTTTTTACACAATATGTTTCCTATAATTATTCTGCATATAAAAGTATTAATTATAATATTTATTATAATATCAACAAATCAATAGTTAAGATATTTTACATTTTATTCTGACACATATTGATATAAAATGTTAAATAACTCGTAAACTATTAACTTTTTGATAATCATACATTAGTACTTTTACGAACAGAATAATGAGATGAATCAGTTGGTGGAAAGAAAACACATAGTTGCTTATTTAAAAAATTATTCATTTTGCATATATATTTTTTTAAAGCAACGATAAGTTTTTTTTACACTAACTGATTCATCTCATTATTTTATATGCAGAATATTAGAGAAATCATATTGTGTAAAAAAAATTATACAATTTCATTTAAAAAAGTGGAGGTGACCTTCATATCTTTTTGACGCCTCCACCTAGAAAAGAAACAACATGACCAAAATACGTTCCCCTCGAAATCGTTCCACTTTTGTTTGAAACATTTTTTTGTATTATCAAAAATAAATGAAATATTCAAGATTTAAATGAATCCATCCTGTATATATGGAGAAATTATATGTACCTTTCTATAGTAGGATTTTGACAAAATTGTTTGAGAGATGGCAAGAAAGGCTGAAAAGAAGTTTGTTCACGTTGCTGTTCCTAAGCAGAACACAAGTCATCATGACAGCAAAATGACGTGACAATGTACTCCAAAATACTGAAAGTCACTTTTCAATCATTTACGATTTACGATTCATTTTAACGTTATTTTTTGTGACTTGTTCTGATTGTGTGGGTTCTTACACTCGGAATTTTCTTTTTCAACGTTAGAATATAAAATTTATCTCGTTTCGAATAGAAATATTTTTAAAGATTTCAAAAGCAACACCAATGAATTTACTTTTGTATGTCGCAATCCGTATGACTTGTCGATTTGTATAAAAATTAGTTTTTTAATTATACCATAAATGAAGTTTATAAATTAATTTATGAAATATAAATTAGTTTACCGATTAATTCTTTGATTTATTAATTAGTTATATTTCACTAATTTGTTAATCAGTTCTAATTCTTTCTCTTCATCTCTTTCTATTCTTCATTTATTCTTTTTTTTTTTTACTATAATTTTCAATTCTAATAAACCATATAGCTCGCGGCCGTAAATTTCGTGATTCCTGCTTGGAGAATCACTGTTATTAATGATTAATAATTATTAATGCTAAGTGTATTAATATATGTGTGTCATAATACTAGTAATATATGCAATATTATAATGTAGCAAAAAACTGAAACTTTGCATCCTCACCGTTGACATAACTGATGTCATCGTATATACAGTATAAGAGAGTATGTATAAGAGATCATAACATAAATCGACGAATCTTCACAGCTTCATAATTCAGTGTTTCGGGCATTTATTTCGACATTTCGCTGAAATTTTTTTCCATTTAAAATTTAAAGGAACTTCAAAATGTTTCCAGTCGAAAAACTGAAACATCTATGTTATAATTTCGCATTTAACGATATAATAATACTCGTTTTCATCAATGTAGATTAACTTTAATCTCGGTTCAACTTACTTTTCTTTTTTTTTAAATACTTGTACTTAGAAAAATATAAAGATTAAATTGAATTAAAATTAAAATTAATTTACATTGGTGGATATGAGTATATTATTTAAAAAATTAAAAGTAAATTGAACTGAGATTAAAGTTAATCTACATTGGTAGAAATAATAATCTATATTGGTATAAATATAATATAACTATATGTAATACAAATATATGGTGTTACATAATAGTTATATTGTTGAATGTTGTACTCTGGCGAAAATAAAAATCAGTGCGTCAAATGTAAGAAAAAAGTAACAGAAAAATAAATTAAATTTTTAAGGTCCAGAGTTCCATAACTCACGGTTAACTCTTAATCAAGATTCAACTTATTCATTGTCTCTTTCCAATTTTATAATTGGAAAGAGATGAGAAACAAGTTAAAACCTCGATTAAGAGTTAACCGTGAGTGAAAATGAGCCTAAGAGGCGAAAATTGAGACAACGAAAAATAAAAGAACGTTCAAGTTTCATTTATGCTTCTTTTATATTCTGTCTCCTTAATTATATTCGACATTTAACTTACACTTCGATTTTTATTTTCGCCAGGGGAATTATATTAGATTGATGTTATCTTTAGTTGATATCGAGTGGGTTGGTTAATCGTATCAACATACAAAGTATACATAATCTATACTTCTGTATAGTTGTACTCATTTGCTTTTCCGCGAAGCCTAGAATGCCGAGTGTACCGTTTCTCACTTCCTTTCCCCTTGTCGAGCAAGAAACAGTTATGTCGCGACAGGAGAAAAGACGATTACGAACCTCGATTGGGAAATTATCGTTTCTATTGTGGAATTTTCTTATATAAAATTTTATAATAAATTATACGAGGATCGTTTTCTCGCCTTGTTATTACGCGTGGACTTCGTTTCAGGGTCTCGATCATGTATTGTCAGATGCCTATATCCAGTAATTTACGAGAAGAAAAACGTATATAATTATGCGCGTCGATTCTTCAAAGTCATGCTACGTAAAGTCACGTGCTCTAGATATCTCCTATGCATACATCTGCGCCGTCGCAACTGGGTTAGCCCCACCGCAATTATGACGGTCACGGGACCGAACGAATACTATTATGATTATAATAGCATCCTCGTTACTTTTACTCTCTTTTTTTTACTTTACGTAACGCAAAACAACTCGCGAAACGGCAACTTTATCTATTCTAAAATTCCTATACTTTCTGTAGATCGTATCTCCATACATAGCATAAAATATTTTATGTAAATCATTTTTTGAAATATTTCAATGAGATATTACAGAAATATTTGGTAAACATTTGTAAAATATTTTAAAATATTGCACTAAAACATTTTACAAAAAAATATTTTAGAAATACTGTATAAATATTATAAGAACAAGAACTTTAATTTGCTAGATATACTTGTATCTTAAAAATATTTCATGAAAAATTTCTGAAATATTTCTAATCTTGTAATAAAGTATTTTGGAAATATTTGTAAAATATTTCATGCGTTGTGGACAGTAATCATAATTGTTCCCCAGTAAAACAATTCAGGAAAACGTTCAAAATGACGTTAAAATGAGTCATAAATAATTGAAAGTGATTTTTGGTAATCATTTTGGCGTCAGTTTGATATTATGATTTGTGTTCTTGGGTTGACGCAATTGTCAATTTTATTCAAGATATTATTCATTCTTATCAATAGCTTTCCATTTACATCGATTCTTAGATACTTCTCATTTGTGATGTTATAACTCAATTGAATGCGCGTTTCTTTTACATTCTAACAAGTGAGATTTAATTGAGTTTGTGCCTATAATCTGCACAAGATTGAGACCGTATGTTTTAATGAGTCCCGTAAACTCACTTTAAAAGTCAGGTTCGAACCTGTGTTATCATGTGGTAACTTTTTATCAAACTAAGCAAATAATAACATTAGTCTGAGTATGAAATACTCAGCTCACTTCAGTCTCAGTTCCATTTGTGTGCAAATGGAAAGCAATTAATGTCTACCGAATCTAAGATTATTTACGTTTAACAAACATTTAGCTAAAACGTTTCTAATGTTTCTATGGTATATAAAAACATTAAGTGGACGTTATTAACGTGTTAAATATTTGTTATAAAACCATTTAAATAGTTTGGCGTGCGCGCGTTTAAAAACAGCATTTTTAACAAAATGTTGCTTTTAACAAAAACAACTGCGAAGGACAAACCTAATATTTTGTTTATACAGATTTGTTTGATATATCATATATTGGAATCAGTCATTTTATTTATGGCAATCATCTACATTAAAACGCAGTTGCGTAACAAATGACAATAAGTTTTTTTATACATATAATATATATAATATAATCTACTTATACTCAGATAAATTGTACTTATAGTGGACGGCACTGTTGTATCGAGAATACTGACGCTTTGTCAATCACTTCCAAGTCGATAGAAATAGCCTATTTACTACTGTTATTGTTTGTAGATAAAGGCACCGCTATCTCTTAATTACGTTGCGTTTGCCCGAGATAACGCGATAATAACAAGGCAGCTCTGATTCGCGCAGCACATATGCAAATGTCTATATAAACTCTGTCTCTCTATTGTACCCCTAGTTTGTGTGAGCTATAGCTGCCTCTCATACATTTATGTACTCTTAAATGTATAAAAAGTTTATACATGTTTG